TGTCATTTACCCCAAACACATTTTTCTTAACATTTTTGGTACTTAAGACTTCAGTGTTATCAGAGTTACACCAGAATTTCAAARTTCTCCACCAAATGAAAATCTCTCATGCAAGCAGTTTTATAAATCTGCAGAAGCAGAAATAGAGCGTACCATGAAAGGGGAGAAAAAGGTTATCTATAACCATTTATTGTCAAGTGGTTCAAACACCTAGTGGACATAATGTGCTAAAACTTCAGATGGCTGTTTTCATCCCTAACTATAAAGCTGCAAGCAATTTTAGTCACTCTTTTAGTAGCATAGTTCCCTATCTGAAATGCTTTACTACTGCRAGGGGGAAATTAACTCATCATTTTACATGAAACCTTCTAACACTACAACAGCCTCCTGAATAAAACACCAAAAGATAAATATTCAAAATCAAAACTGTTTAAGATAAGCTGTAATTATTTTAAGCAAAAAYAAACAAATACTTCAAATTTCCCTGCTTTTTCAGAACTGCCACTGTTATCATCATTGTGCTGAAGTACAGAAGGCAGAACATAATTCCGCTGCATGAACAGGAGATGAGAATTTTGCCAGCAAAATTAATCTGTATGKTCAGGTGTTGTCTAGTTTATTTACAATACTCTGCAGTATTCGATCTCATTATTTGTTCTCACRCACAACCTTACTGTCATTGTCCTTCACTGCCAATGAGAATTAAGAATGTATTTGAATGAAGGGGTATTTCAGGACTCATATGATGTCCTTGTTTAGCCTCAGGGTAAAAAAAAGGCAGGGTGAGAAAAATACTAAAAAGAGAAAACATCTTTTTTTCAGGACAAGCACTGTTTCTATGTAAAGCATGTCAAATGACATATAAAGTGAAAACAACTTTAGGACATCATGCATTTTTATCTGAAAGATGACAGATCAGCAGATCTGTTCAGTCTGCATGGTTTCTGGAGGAGCAGTGTTTCATACAGGGGCAGAAAAAGCAAACTAAGGATCCTTTTAAAATGGAGAACTCAACATGTTCACTATTTCATAACAGTTTTAGGTCCTGCAGGAAAAAAAAAAAACAATCTAATAATTTAAAAAATTTCTTATACATAGAGTTAAAGAAGAGTAAATCTTGCACAGTCACAGCACCTGATTGAACACTTCTTTTCATAAGAAGTCAAYCTACTTATTGCTTTCTGACAATTAAATTAAAAATTATTAAACTGATAAACAGTCTGCCCTCTATTTAGTGCCCACATCATGCACAAAGATGTCCTTTCACTAATAAATTGCTAATTACAAACTTCCCAAAACAGGTCACATCTCTGCAGTGACAAACAGATCTAATAATTTGGAAGTATGAACACAATGCATTTTAAGAAGAAAAAGAAAGTGCAGTGAAATACAGTCTAAAAGGATTATCTGAACTGTTGCCCCTCTACTATGGGTTTACAAGTTAACTCAACAGAGGCAATAATAAATATCCTCTGGATCAGGCCTACCTATTTGGATGGATCCTGCAGTGCGTATGTACTACCTTAATATTCCAAAAGTACTTGTGCAGGAAGAGGTTGTACAATCAATGCAAGCAACAAGGGTAAAATCAGATAAAGTCTGAGAAACTGTTCCCAAGAAGAAAAATCTCACACAGATAAACTTAACAGTTTGAAGGAAAAAAAAAAMCACAAATAAACYGTAGGTGCTCATAATAACTGAAATAATACTGGTGCACTGACTTCTATAAACTCACCCTGATGCATCGCAAATGTAGTTCCAGGTTAATAAATTATGATCTCTGATAAACAGACATAATGAGCACTGGAGGCAATTATATGCTGAGGAAAACCTAGAGAAATGTTTARCTTGCTAGTATTGTCACTTGCTAAAGATTCCTGCCTCTGGAACAGAGTGCCTTCTTTCAAGGGCTTCTGGTCTTCCACGTAACCACTAAGGCTAACCCGAGGCCATATTACACACTGACCTTAAAAAAAGTCTATGGGAAACAGAGAATGAAAAATAYTTAGTTACAGGCATGACTAATGAGTACCAAAGTGCAGAAATCTTCCTTGGACACCATTTCTACTCTTATCCATTCCAATCTTTTTTTTTTTTTTTTGTTTGAACATCCATTCAATGAACATCCACTCCTTTGCCCATTACTCTAATGTTTGGTTTCCTGCGGATTGGAAAAACAAAAGTCATTGGGCTGAGTACCTGAAGCAACTGGACAAGGCCCATTGGTGGATGTGTCCATGCCCATGATCTAAAAGAGGTTTTGTCATGTAGGAACTATTCCTGAGTGCAACAATCAAAAAACGGTGTTACCACTCAGGGAGTGCACAGCTGCAGCAGTGTCAGCAAGAAAAAACTCACACCCAAGGGCCAAAAAGAAGGTCCCAGGATGACACTGTGCTCTCCTAAACTGTTACCATGTGCAAGTCACTGCTGTTGACCCTACACTGGATACTTGTCCAAATGCTGCACACATTACAGTATAGCTGCTGCTCCATGAGAACCTTCTCCAAGAAGAAACCACCAGACACCTTTGATGTAAGGACCTGGAATGTTGCTCYGAACAGTTTTCACTTCACACACTTTACAGGAGTGCTTACTGCCACTCAGTACATCACTGTACACCAAGAACACTTCAAAACAACTTCCTAAATCACAATATTAACAAGCAGGGAATACAGGGAACATGAAACTCTTATCTAAAAGGACACTTTTTGAATGTCCTTAAAATGTGAAAAGGAAAGTGAAATTTGAGTGTGCTCTGAGTAACAACCCACTTTCACCAGTTTCTGTACACATTGTGATTGTTTCCCAACTGTGTTTGAACCATCAAGGTCCTGAGACTGGTTTCCAGTGAACCATTTCCKAAGCAAATGCTGACCCCTGTTAAAATTCAAGGCTGGGGAATGTAAGGACCTCTTCCGTTTCTCATTGAGCAAGCGCCAACAGTTTGTTTCAACATTGATAAACCAGTTTGTTTGCCATCAGTTATGCCCTTAGGCTTTTCACTTGATTCAGCTAAGAAAATGGAAACAAAAGATAAGTTTCACTTCCTGCTTTCTTGTTGTGGTATTTAGTTTAGAGAACAGTGCAAAGTAACTTTCAAATTCAATCATTTCAGTTATATGATAAACAGTATCTCTGTTAGATAGTTTTTACTGTATTGATTCAAAGGAATCTACTCCACAGCAGGTACTGCAGAGTAAAGCACACCTTTATCAAAGCCAAGAGAACACACAGGGGTTTGCAGCTCCATGTATGTGTCTGACTGTAGTTCATTTTACACAAGCTTTTATACTTTTCAATTCTGGCAGGCCCTCATTTGTTTGCTCATCTAAAAGTTACAATTTTAAGGGATGGGGTCTTATGTAATTTGTAGTTTCTTTATTTTAGGGTGGCATACACAGTAAATAGCTTCTATCCAACATATTCATCACATTTACCTAACTGGTACTGTGCTTCTCTGTAACTGTACTTAATTGATTAYGTTCTTCTATTTTCTACCTATTAAAACAAAATTTAGGACTTTGCATTTTTCTAGCCTTTTACGACAGGTAGCATGCCTCTCCCTTTTTCTCACCTTAGCCCACCCCAGCTAGTTCCCTTCTTGCAGAAGCATTTATAGTTAAGGGCAGCAGTTAATATACCTCTCCCTTCTTATCATATCCCTYAGCCCACCAGGGCTAGGCCCCTGCTTGTGACAGTGATTACCATTAAATGCAGCATTCAGGCTTTYAGTTTGTGTTAATTCACACCTATTCGAAGGTGCTTACGTCAAGTGAGGACTGTGTTTCAGTATCAGTTCTTTTGAAACTGTCTTTTAAAACCACACCAAAACAAAACGTATATTCAAATACGAAAGTCAAAAGTGTACTACAAGCAACTTAAAAATACAYTGAGTCTCAGATACTGGATGAACTATTTCACGTCACTGAAAATGACAGAAGTTGTCCTTTCCTTTGGTAGGAAGTGATAGGGTACTGAGGTGGGAAAACATTTTTCTGAGCAATCATGGAGCCTGGGGACCATCTGGGAGTCTGGTCCGACAGCCAGATCCCAAAGCACAGAGGGAGCATCGCTGGCTGTGGGAGTACTGCTGCACTGATATGTTCATTTACAAAGAATAAAAAAGAATGCAGTACTTTAATGTGATGTACCCCAGGAAAGAAAAACAATCGACAAAGATATCAGACAAACTGAATTATTAAAAAAATGAAGCCAAAAAATAAACACAAAACTTTTGCCTAATCAAATTTTTAAAACCCAGCTAAAAGAGACCAAGGTAGCATTCATTTACTTTTAACACCTTATTAAGCAAATGATAACCAACAATCAGGGAAAGGAAAAGAATGTGTTCAAGTTCTACATATATTTCCTTCGGAAATAGACAAATACAACAAATGCTGAAACATATTTTGAAAATGCCTACTTGTACAATCCAATTTATAACCACAAGCTTGGATCAACTTAAAAATAACATTTAAACTAACATTCAATAAAACATTTTTTAGCCTTTTAAGTTATACTGACATTTAATTTAGTGTCTCAGTGATTTAATTTGGTCAACTGCAGACAGCCTTGAATCTGCCATGGTACCAAATATGGCTCTCATGCATGGAAGTAARCTGCTGATGTGAAATTTGGCCTATTTGTTATTACAACCTTTTCTCAGTTTTTTAACACGAATTAACTTTACACACATACTGATGTCTTTGCTATGTTTCTGTCAGGTTTACATACAGTTTGCATATCTACAAAAATTGAGGAAAAAAGACAATGAAGCTTCACAGAGAAGGACTCTAAGGAAAGAGCCTGTGACAACTAGGATCGCCTTTCTGATCACCTCTCTCCACACTTCTTCCTCAGTTTACGTTTGCAGGAAGGCCGATTATTTTAATGATCCTTCTTGCAAAAGATAAGGAAACAGRAAAACCTGCCACGTTATTGAACCACAGCATTTTACTGCCAGCAAGAAATGGACTCATTATTGTAGAAAAAAGTACCTTTTGGAGCCTCCAATATAGGTGAAGGTAAAGGTGGAGTCTGAGTACCTGAAATCTGAAAGACAAAGAGCTCCTTTATTACAACTTGTCTTTATTTTGGCTGAAGTAGCCGAGGTTTTTACGGACCAGCATTCAGCTCCCGACAAGGGAGCGATGCAGGGGGAACCGGGGTGAACCAGAGGAAATGCAGCATCTCCCCCCAGCCCCTCGCAACAAGTGCCCGGTGCTATGGCAACAGCAGGGAATTCCATTGTCACACACGGCAACAGGCAGCCGACAGCCGCGCTCCTGCGACGGCTCATCGCGACCGGCACCGCACCGGCACGGCCGGGGCACCGCGCATCCCCAGGGGAGGGCGGCAGGGGCTGCTCGCACCGACAGGGCCCGTCCGCGGCTGATGTGCCACCGGCCCGGGGCCGGGGATCAGGGCAGGCACCGARGGCGGCAGAGCCCGGCCGCCCGGGAACAGCCGCGTAGCGAAAAGCCCCCGTGCTGCGCACGGCCGCGGGCTGCGCCGGGCACGGGCTCGGAACCAAGCGGCCACCGCCACGCTCCCCGGCTCGGGATGCCGCCTCCCCACCCCGCCCGCCCCTTTCCCGGCCGGCGCCCGGTCTCCTCTGCCCTCACATGCCCTCGGAAGGAGAGCAGGAAGACGGGGTCTRAGAGCGGCCCCGCGGCCGGGAACGGCGGCGAAGGGCACGGGCACGGCGGCAGCGCGGTCCGGGGCGGGCGCGGCGGCGACGGGAGCCTCCGCGCCTCCAACCTGGCGCCCGGGGACAAACTCACCTGCAAACAGGCAGTCCTTCTCCGCCTTGCACTTTTGGATCACAACGTCAATATCCTTCTGAATCCTCTCTTGTCTTGAACACATCCCCATGAAATAAATCCCAGGGGAAAAAAATAGCAGCCTTTATTTCCACCCCACCCCACCCCCCGCGCTGCCAGGTTTTTTTTAAGATTGATCCCGAAAGAAGGACCCCGGGGCTGGCGAGCAGAAAGCTCCTCGGCGGCCCGGAGGGATCCGTTCGGCCGGTTGGAGGACGTTGGAAGAAGGCGGCGGGAGCCGATGTTGTTTGCCCAGATGCGCCCGCCCAGATGTGCCGCCGCTGCCGGCAAATGGCAATTTCCTCACAATAGATCCAGCGGAGGGTGGCGGCGGCGACACGGGATCCCCCCCATCCCCCCACCCCCCCCACGCCCTCTGGGTTTTTTGGGGTTGGTTGGCTGGTTTGGTCTTTTTTTGGAGGCGAGAGGAAAAAAAAAAAAAAAAAAGGGCGGAGGAAAAAAAAAAAAAAAAAAAAAAGGGCGGGGGGGCCAAGGCGACCCGGCCGCTGCCGCTCACATCCCTGCCCCTCCCGCCAGCAGCGGCGATCGCCGCGCAGCAGCAGCACAGCGCGGAGAGCCGGCGGCGGCACCCGCACCCGGTCCCTGGCGGCGCGGCGGGGCCGGCGCTTGCTGCAGCGACGCCGAGCCGCAGACCCTCCCCTCGCTCCCGGCCCGGCACGTACGGCCCCCGCCGGCTCCCCCGGCGGAGGCGGCGCGGGGGGAGGAAGAGGCGGATGCACAGAGCCGCGCGGGCGGCCCGGGAGGCGGCGGCGGCGGACGCGATGGTCCCGGCCTCGCCGCCGGCGCTCGCCCCCGCCCGCCCGGGCCGCGGGCACAGGCTGCCGCCGCCTGCCGAGCGTCGGAGAAACGCCAAGAGCGAGTGCTCCGGGCGGCGGGGCGGCTCCCCGGCCGCACCGGGAAGGAAGCGAGCAGCGCCGTGTTGCGCAAGGCCGGCGGCGGCGGGGCGGGGGAGAAGGGCGGCTGTGGCGGCGGGGCCCGCTCCCCCTCGCCCCCCCTGTATCTGTATGAACGCCGTCCAACGCCGCCCCTGCTGCGAGCGCTGGGGCTGCGCTGCCGAAGATGCGCCTCTTCCGCGGCGGCTGCGGTCCTGACCGGCACCGCGGGCGGAGCTGTGCCCGGCCGTTCCCGGGCAGGACAGCCCGGCAGCCACCCTTGGCCGAGCGCTGTCCCCTGCCAGCCTCCGCCTCCGACCTGTCCGCGGGTGAGCGTGCCCATGCAAACAGTAAAAGGAGGATTTAGAGCCTTTCTGTGACCACTGTGGTGTTCATCGCAAACCTCGCCTCTCATTCTTCAGTAAAACTCTCAGATCCAAGGGCTTCGGGAGAGGGCTCGGACAGTCCAGTGCCTAGCAGTGGGAGCTCATCCAGGCTACAGGCTTGGGGCACTGGACCAGAACAAGTAATGACCGTAATATAACTTGGAAGGAATCATCAAGTCCGCAAAACCAACTATTTTGTCATCCAACCATTTTTTCATATGCTTATATTAATAAAAMTAGGTCTGAAGGTAGTAGAGTTGATTACAACATTGAAAGAATATTCACAAMATTCAGTTTTTATGTATTCACTCTGTTSTAAACAGCTCCTCTGGATTATTCATTCTTGAGCTCAGTCGTTCTAGTGGGTGGGTGGATATTTTTTTCTTTTAACAAGTCTGTATTAATCATGTATTATTGATTTCTAACAGGGAAGACAAACACAATATTTTTATGAAAGATTAAAAAACTCCATAATTTTTCCTATCTGTACGAGAAGACAGAAAGGAACTTAAAATCCATCACATGATGGATTTTCTACCTCTTAAGAAAATAATTTTTCTTTGAAGGGAGACTTTTAGATGAGTTTTCTGCGTGGAAACTGTACAAGATTGCTTTTCATGTTAGTATCCTTGGGTAAAACTTGCATACAGTTAGGAATAGATTTTTTTTTACCATAAAAGCTTACACTTTTCTCCTGCTTAACATGGAGCACCTGGCTAGCGCTTTTCAACAGGAGATTTATATGAAGAGGTTGTACTGGAAYCCATGGCAGGAGGCTTGGAACTAGATGTTCTTCAAGGTCTCTTCTAAGCCAAACCATTCTATGGTTTTATGATTCTACTCCGCAGGACTTTTCCAAGGCATACAACAATTGCCACTGTAGTCAGTATAATATGATAAAACACTGTCATTCTGTCAAGTGATGCAACACTGGTTAAGAAGTGATGCTTTTCTTGTGGTGCTTTTCTAACTATTCCAGCTAGAATGTCAGCAGCCATGTTTACTGTCTTCTCCTTAATCACAGTTAGAAGATTTAATCAGAATTTGATTTATTCTGGTGGGGTTTGGGTTCTGAACCTTGTAGTGAAAGGTCTCTGTTATCCCTCCCAGGTGGATCAGGAAAGGGAGAGGTTATTAGCCAGTTGCAGGATATTTATGCTGACAATTCTGCTTACAGCTTATTCTAACCACAGGGTTCTTCACAGTGTCATGTCAATTAGCGCAATTCTTGACTGCCTTTTTAAGCCTCAGACTGTTTTCATAGGCTTGGTAACAGTGAATTGAAAAGTCATCCACAAAGAAAAAACACCATGTTCAAGAAAGTTAATATGGTTGGCTTCACAGCATCAACTGAATTGATCAAGAAGTCTGAAATACAGTTGGTTATTTATTCTATTAGTTTTTTGTTATTGTAAGTAGCTCCTAAATTCCTCATTTCTTAGTCAATTTGGCCCTTGATTTACCTGATGGCTTCAGTACAATTATGGCAGGAATTGCTGATGTCAGTGAGGAAAAGCTCAATCATAGCCTGAGGTCTTYCATTAAAATTTTGAGAATAAGATGTTAGAAAGTCAAGGGGGATCCATAGAATTGATCCCTAAATTTGTAAAGATTGACAAGCTGCTGACATCCAGGTACCTTAAGTGTTACTGCAGAGGTATCTGTATGCGTGCCRTAATCTCTGCACAGAATCCCTGTGCTGGTTTTGGCTTGGGTAGAGACACACAGCCATGAAGAAACTTCRTGGAGAGCTTTCTAAGTAATTCATTGAAGAATGGTCATGGCTTAAGCAAATTCAGTATATGTCTTTCCAGTTGCTTTTCAGCCTTGAAAAGYGGTTCATGTCATTTCTAGTTTTGTCCCAAGTTCAGCTCAGTTACATTGTACTGAACTGATCACTCCAATTAATTAWAAGAGAAACACAAGTAACTTCTATGTTTGTGCTCCTGGAAACCTGAAAGTATATACCGAGGTGGAAATGAGGTAAAAAGAAATTAAATTGATGGAGGTACATGATTAGAAAAATTACTCGAGAAGAGTGGTCCAAACTGTAAGGTGGAAAATGGAAGAGAAACAACACAGTGAACTTGTTTCAGTAAATAACGTGTGAACAGTGAGTGAGAGGAAATGAATAAGTCAGACAATTTCTGCTCACAAACGGGTTCTGCCTCTTYTAGACTAAGCAGATTTCTTTCATTTTATGCCAGAAATAACCCCTCTTCYCACCTATTAGTAAAGCTGATAGAAATACTTCAATAAGCATGAGGACACCCTGTTCTCACCCAAATGCTCTCCTTTATATATTTTTCTAAATGCGTTCATGTGACATATAAACACACACTAGAAGTCTTCAGAAAAACAAAGAAAACTTGCAAGATTGCTGTTGTACGGAATATGTATAACATAGGTCAATGATATAAGAGTATATGGCAYCCATCTAATATCCCTAGTGCACAAGACCATTTAAAAGGGCAAAAGTTAGAAAAATAATCCAAAACATTCTAAGCCACAAAAAGGTCATCAACACTCTGAACGAGCAACAAAAATATTTCTCCACTTWTATATGTTTCAAATAAAGCTCTAGTAAAAACCAAACCAAACCAAACTTCTACTTTTTCTCCAGTGTGCAGGACTACATGCCAGCAGAGCAAAACTCAGTRGTACCTGTAGACAGTGAGCTCTGGGAGGTAGAACATTTAAAGAATCAGTACCATTCCACTCTTAAGGCATGAAACACAATGCTACCCTTCCAGTAAGCTTCTACAAAATGACATGGCACTTTCTAAAGCAATCCATCCTTGAGCRAGTAGTGCCCTGTGGCCCAGAAGGCCAGTGGTGTCCTGGGCTGCTTTAGGAGGAGCAGGGMCAGCAGGTCAGGGAGGTGACCCTGCCCCTCTGCTCAGCCCTGGGGAGGCACATCTGGAGTGCAGYGCCCGCTCTGGGCTCTGCAGTGTCAGACAGACATGGAGCCCTGCAGYACACCCAGCTCAGGGCTGCAGAGTTATCGAGGGATCMCKTTGAGAGGGGCTGAGGGAGCTGGGTCTGTTSAGCCTCAACGAGAGACAACTGAGAGGGGACCTCATCAATGTCTGTCAGTGTCTGCAGGGAGGGGTCAGAGCAGGGACCAGGCTGTGCTCSGGGGTGCTGAGCAACAGGATGAGAGACAATGGGAGAAACTGATGSACAGGGGAGGAACAATGGGAGRAACTCCTGTTCTTCCCCTGAACATGGGGAAGAACTTCTTTACAGCATGGGGGAGCAAGCTCTGGAATAGATTGCCCAGAGAGGTTGTGGAGTCTCCCTCACTGAAGATATTCAAGAACCATCAGATGCAGTCCTGTGCTGTGTGCTCTCGGATGGCCCTGCCTGAGCAGGAAGGTTGAACCAGATTGTGGGCCTTTCCAGCCAGACCCATTGTGTGATTCTGTGATTCTGTGATTAGCCTGAAAACATGGGCACTAAGGTGTGACACACTTGGCCCCAAAAGTTTAGTGAATGGTTCAAAGGGCACACAATTTCTAAAATATGTGCTAATACTGGCATCATTAACCACAGCTGAGCTTATTGCATGGTAAATGTCTCAGTTTCTAAGCAAACTGTTTAGAACAGTTTAAAAGCCTCAAAACAAAACTACTTTGTTCCCTTTCTCCAGACTGTAATTTCTTAATAGCAAATAGTCATGCCAGAAAGCACTCTAACTATAAAATACTTACCTTGCTAAAAATAATCCATTTAGTCCACTTTCTGCTATAGTAAATATGATTCACCAAGTAACCATCTGTTATCAGGTACCAATGCTTTCCTGTTGTAACAATCTCCATTGCAGCCAGCCTGTGCCGGATCTTAACTAAGAATCTGTAACCCCAAATTAAAAGGAATTGTCAAGTATTTCCTGTTTTAATGGAATTGATAGGTGGGAAGCATTCAGCATTCAACAAGATTTAACCCTTAGAAACTGAAGACTAATTCTAGCAGTAGACCACATCTCATTTATACTGCAGACTGTGGGGTAGTGATCTCTGACCAAACTCTAAATTAGAGGCTGAAGAAGGGGAAAGATTAGCACATGCAG